AACCCAGATTGAGAGGGTGAAGGGCTCTCGTCCTACCATTAGACTACACCGGTATGATCAACTCTTCACTACAACATGTACACATTCAGCACTACCAATCCAGTGTCATCGAATATCTCGTTGTCGGAAAGATGCGACCAAATCAAATATCGAGATCGATGGTACTCGGTTGGTAGTGTTGAATGTGTACATGCTGTGCTGAAGACTTGATCATACCGGTGTAGTCTAACGGTAGGACTAGAGGCCTTCAACCTCTCAGTCTGGGTTCAAATCCCAGTACCGGTAATCTTTTTTTTTGTTTTGATTCCGGGATTCATTTTGTCGTTAGTCAACGAGAATTTCGTAATTTCATCTGTTCTCTACAAAATATGCTGAAATAGTTTTGACAAAACAGAACGAAATCAAAAGAAAAAAAAACACTGCCGGTACTGGGATTTGATGATTTTGTTCATTTATGTTGTCATAGTGATGTGTGAAAATGAATAATTTCTAAAGATGCTTCTCATCTGTGATATACGAACAGTGTATAACCCAGATTGAGAGGGTGAAGGGCTCTCGTCCTACCATTAGACTACACCGGTATGATCAACTCTTCACTACAACATGTACACATTCAGCACTACCAATCCAGTGTCGTCGAATATTTCATTGTCGGAAGAGTCCAACCAAATCTATTATCGAGATCGATGGTACTGGATTGGTAGTGCTAAGTGATGACCGGACAGATGGGCCCCGACAGTTGAGCTCCCGAGAAATGATCTGCCGGCACGTGAGCCTCACAAAAACATTTCATTGAAAAAATCTAACAGTTAGATAAGAAATGAAGCAATGTCTTGCGCTTTTAAAGTACATATCTCTTGTTATTACATAAAAAGAAGAGACTAATTGTTGTAATTGTTCTTCGTTACGTTCATATTTGGCACGTCGTGTGAGTTTCATTAAACCAGATTGTAGCTCCTCCGCCGGAATTAATGTCGCGTGCTGCTCAGTTTGTAAATCTTTTATTGATTCATATATTGATCAATGTGAACGAATATAGTGCTAAACGGAAAAGGAAAGTACTATATGAAGAAAAAAAGTCATGAATGAATAATACCTGAATGACTCTGTGCCAACACTCACTTGAATTGTTCGTTCTTGGTAATTGTTGATCAAGGCGAACATAAATATACCACGTGGAATTCGAATAACGAGGAGCACAGTGTCGATTATTGCGAATTGGTCGACCAATATAATTGTCTTCATAGTAATCGATAAAGTCTACATTAGTTAGAGTAGTAAATCATAAGTTCTTTTAATGATTAAAAAGATATTCCGTACCGTTGAGGGTGTCTGGCGAATCAGCTTGCAATTTCCCAATCCAGCAATTACAGATTGTTCAGGTATTAATGCTGAAGATCTGAAGTTCTTTAATAAATGTCGAACATCATTATTTTCTTTGAATAATTGTTGTAAGCCAAGAGTCTAAAATATCAAGATAAAATATAATTAAAATTATCTAGTAAAATAATATTTGTGATCGAATCAACCGACACTGCCCTGTATCAGGCTCCATAAATTCTGTTTGAGATGGAAAAAACAAAAACTATTGTTATCATAGGTAAATGTATTTTTACAGCATTTTTGACAGCTTTTTCAAAATCAATAGTTATTGATTTAGGATGTGGATATACATTTTTAAGGATAACATCGAACATTTCATCATAGATAGCTTGAGAATTACCAGCGATACTACAATAGACCAATGGTAATGAACGTCCACCTACACAGCCATGAATAGTATATAGTTGGTAAAACAAATCAGCAGCAACCTATAAAAGACTTATGCATGAAAGGATTGTTTCAAAAGCTAATAATCATTGTAAAGTGTGCCGTAAATGTTCCATCACCGTGCCAATTTTCCGAGATTGACAAACAATCAAGATCATCATCGGATGATAATATAATCATTCTATGATTAGGACTTTCGTTATCATACAGTACAAATTGATCACCGCCATTAGTTACGTTAAGTTCACCAGGAATAAGAATATCATTAAATGATGTTGGTCGAGGTAATGGTAAATCTTCTGTTTTTCGTTTTCGTTCAATAGCTCGTTGTGCAGATGAATAGTTTCGAACAGCTGACCCATCTTTTCTATTTACATTTAAGAAAGCCTCATGAATAACACGTCGTAGTGGATCATGTGATGATGCTGTACCAGAACTAATATTTGATTTGAATTCCAGTGCTATGATTTCTTCAGGATATGATGCATGAAATGATCTGTAACTTTAATATATTCTATTCTATCAAAACGTGCACGGCCAGAACAGTTATTTCAACAACAATGCCAAATAATTTGAGATTTATTTGCACGACGATAAAGATAAACACCAAGTAAAAGTTGATCATTGGCTTTCAAGGATTTTACAATTGAAATTGTTAATAATAATCGAAAAATATAGCAAGAATGATGAAACCTTTATGAATCAAAGAAATATAATTAAAAAAATTACCCATTTCTGTAAAGACGGTTGACATAGCCACGAAAAATATATCAGTAAGTCTAAGTCATCAATACCATTAAATGATGTCGCACGTTCTCGTGCTATATTTTCCAGTGAATTAAGTGATCCTATATTAATTTCGTGTGTTCTATACTTAATCGATGAAATTTCAATCGTCTGAGGCTGACGTGTTGCGAGCTCATTTGTTGGGAGCTCAACTATTGGGTCTCATCTGTCGCGAGCTCAGTTGTCGGTGCACCGTGTTGAATGGGTTACATGAATTTCGGCCCACGGAATTTTTGGGCCTGACTTTCGGACCAATTTTATACAAATTCATTAAACTCAGAGAAAAAGACGAATGTTTTAGAAAATTGGTTTCTAGACTTTTTTAGTACCGAGCGAAATCACGTAGTGCTGAGCGAAACGTCGTAGTGCCGAGCGAAGCGTCGTAGTGCTGAACGAAGTAATAGTGTTTAAAACAGCAGTTCTATTAATATAGAACATAGTATGGCGTTTTAGGATACATATCGTTTATCCAAAACAAGCACGAACGAATCTAGTGTAATCTCAATATTGACTTAATGATGCACATTTTTTAGTTTTATTTCAGATGTAGAATTCACTATTGCTGGTATATCTTTCGAAATTTGTTGAGATGTATATTAGGTATAAATTCGGTTTTTTTATTTCAACTAGTTTTTCTTCTATGGAATAAAAAATGCCGCTTCGCTCCCCATTACGTCGCTTCGCTCAGCACTACGTCGCTTTGCTCGGCACTACGACGCTTTGCTCGGCACTAAAAAAATCGAGAAACCAATTTTAAAAAATTCGTTTTTTTCTCTGAGTTTAATGAATTTTTATAAAATTGGTCCGAAAGTTCGGCTCGAAATTCCGTGGGCCGAAATTCCGGTCACCCTGTTGAATGTATACATGCTGTATCGAAGAGTTGATCATACCGGTGTAGTCTAATGGTAGGACTAGAAGCCTTCAACTTCTCAATCTAGGTTATGCACTGTTCGTATACCATAGGTGAGAAGTATGTTTAGAAATTATTCATTTTCACACATCACTATGATAACATAAATGAACAAAATCATCAAATCCCAGTATCGGTAATTTTTTTCCTTTTGATTTCGTTCTGTATTGCCAAAACTATTTGAGCATGCTTCGTGGAGAACCCAAAAAATTACGAAATTCTTGTTGACTAATGACAAAATGAATCGCGAAATCAAAGGGAAAAAACCATTACTGGTACTGGGATTTGAACCTAGATTGAGAGGTTGAAGGCCTCTCGTCCTACCATTAGACTACACCGGTATGATCAACACTTGAGAATACATCCTATTCCGCAATGTTGAACATTCCGGAACCAGTTCCGCTCACGGAACCAATTCCATCTAATTCCCGGAATTCCGTTTATCCCTTCCGATTCAATTCCGGAATTACACGGAATTCAAACGGATTCCGCCTAATTCCCAACGGTTCCGGAATTTAGTGCACTTACACTCACATCCACACTGACAGCCACACTTATGGCAACACCCAAACTGACACCCACACTTATCGCATCACCCACACCACGCAATTCCGATACGGAATTCCGGGAATTAGGTCGAACAGGAATTGAACGGAATTACACGGAATTCTGTCTAATTCCCAACGATTCCGTATTGACCTAATTCCGGAATTTCGGACCGGAATCGGATCATCACAAAATGGGTAAGACAAGCTGGAATAGTGATACAAGTTGTAATTCCGGAATTACTAGCAATTCCGTGTAATTCCTAGGAATTCCAAGTGACTCCGCTTTCACTTAATTCCGGAATTGGACTGAATTCCGTGGAATTCCGGGAATCGGACGAACCAATTCCGGAATCGGGCAGTGTTCATATTTGACCTAATTCCGGAATCGACGGAGCTGATTCCGGAATGTTCAACATTGCGGAATAGGATGACTGCTCCAACACTTCGGTACAACATCTCTAAATTCTATAATATCAAATTAGCATAAAATTGTATTTCGCTGTCGAAAATTATGGCGAGATCTCTTGTGATGATCGATGAGACATTCTACACTCATACTGAAACAGAAAGTATAATAATCCAAATGGAATGTAATAAATTTTCGGCAATCCGAAGAAATGTTATGAGCTGAAATTCAATCGTAATATATAATATAATGATGAATCTTGAACTTTGGCACTGGTATGAGAGTATTGTTCTGTTTGCTATTTTTAATAGGATCTAATTATCTTCACTTGCGTTAAGGGGGGGATCGCGACACCCTAATTCGCTGATTTAATAGGCTCATTCGATAGAGAATTTTCCCCTCTATCTGATACTTTCTGAAGAAGCTTGAAAGAAGATTCCTTTCATACCGTTTGGTAGTTAATACCTTGACTAGGACACCCTTTTTCAATTCAACGACTTTCTGTCGTGTTTTCGTCATCATGAATGTGCTAAACGAGAATTTCTCATGTATCATTTGATAGAGAATTTCAAGCGCTACAACTTTGCTACACATCATATTTTCTGAATTCAATTATTGAAAACGGTAGACGCCATTTTCTCTTACCGTATAAAATTTTAATTTCTGAAAAATATGAAATTTTCAGGATTTCGCAGATAAAAATGACTTTTTGCGATATTTCACTTCATTTATGTGAATACTGTTGGTTTCACAATGTACTCATTTATGAGCTGGACAATCAAGAAAAATATATCGTCCGATACTTATTTGATGTCTCTAGTAGTTTTACTTGGAATAGCAACTCGGTGTAGGTAGACAGGCGAAGCTAGCTGAAGTTGTGTAATGATAATAATTATTTTTTTGCAAAATGTATTGCTTCAATTTATGACTAAAAATGATCGAGTGTTCTAGAAAATTCCAGCACCATAGTCCATTTCTTCATCTTCTTCTATCTGACCTTGGAGTCATTGCTGTTCTTTTCGTCGTTTGATGATATCATGTCGTTGAGTATTATTGTCTTTTCTATTCGCTTGTAATCTTTTCCTAAAAGAACACCTAATAGTTCGTCTGTGACTGGGATTCCAACTTGATCAAAAAATTCAGCCAGTCCTGATCGACCACGATTAAAGAATATTAATGAGATTGCTGCAGCACCTCGTATTGATCGATAACCATGGTATTTTGATTTTGGTAGAATTGACCAAACAACAGAATTTATCGATTCATTTGCATTTTGTGTCGCACCTCGAAGACATCGTCGTAACAATATTGGATTGGTCAATGTATCAATCATTGGTGTCAAGATTTCGAGAAAAATCTACGAAGTATTCGAGAACCTTAAAATCATAAGAAGAAAAAACGTTTTCACTAACTGGGTCAAGTCGCTTGATTTGTTTAGCAGGATCGATTTTTTGCTTTAACGGAACATATTTATCTTTTTGATACGAATACCAGGAATAAGGTTCTGTTTGGCATAAACCATGTTGAAGTTCATCATTGGGATTTTTTATATTATGTAAAAATGCTGCACGACAACGTCGTTCAATTAATTTCACGGCATCACCTTCATCAAGATCTACAATGTAGTGTAGTTGTTAGAACCTGAGAGCGATTATCGTACTTTTAGCCCATTCACTAGATTGTCGAATTGCTACGCCATAGGAATCGGCAAGTTTGTGCTCCAAAGCCTTGGTTATACGACCAGCACCACCGCCGTACGATTTACCGTCGGCTAGGCGTCGTCGTTTACGACTCTTACTAACCGGCTGTAAAAATGAATCAATATTCCCTCTACTGAAAGGAGGGTATTACGAAAAACGAGTTAAATGCGTTCGTTCGTAAGTTCGTAAGTTCGTTCGTCCAATAGGAAAGCAGATGCATAAACTTCACAAACCTCAAACAAT